ATATGAGTTGAGCTGACGTTTACATTGAATTTCACATAGCCTTGCTTTCCTAAAAGTTGTTCTCATCCAGACACAAGTGGACTGCAGTTTCGACCTCGCATCAACTGGTCTTATCAACATCCTCAGCGGGAGTCAAACCGCGACAGTGCAGGATGCGAGCTTGATACATTAACCACCCGGCAACACTGCCACGAGCAGCCTTGAGTCATAGGGCATAAGTGAGTTTCAATAAATATCAGGCGACTTTGCTATATCATATTCTTTGGTGGGAGTGCCGATGAAGTAAACGTATATTTGCTATAGCAATCGACTACGTTACTTATTTTCGTATTAGAGTAGAGTTTCGAGACTACCACTCCACTGGTGCCTGGATGAGAACAACTTTTGGGAAAGCAATACTATGTGAAATTGAATGAAAACGTCAGCTCAACTCATATGATTGTGGGAAAATTCTACTACAAGTCCTTCATCACCTTAGACGAAACAGGGCGAATACATTTCATACTACTTATTTACTGGTAGTCACGAGAACAATACTCAATTCGAAAAATAAAGTAGATTCTCAGTATGTGATTTATTCACCCAATTTCGTTTAAGGATGAGAACATCTCTTGGGAAAGCAAGGCTATGCGAAATTGAATGAAAACTTCAGCTCAACTCATATGATTGTGGGAAAATTCTACTACAAGTCCTTCATTACCTTCGACGAAACCGGGTGAATACATTTCATACTACTTATTTACTGGTAGTCACGGGAACAATACTTAATTCGAAAAATAAAGTAGATTCTAAGTATGTGATGTATTCACACAATTTCGTTTAAAGATGAGAACATCTCTTGAGAAAGCAAGGCTATGCGAAATTGAATGAAAACGTCAGCTCAACTTATATGATTGTGGGAAAATTCTACTACAAGTCCTTCATCACCCTAGACGAAATAAAGTGAACACATTTCATACTACTTATTTACTGGTAGTCACGGGAACAATACTTAATTCGAAAAATAAAGTATTTTCTAAGTATGTGATGTATTCACACAATTTCGTTTAAGGATGAGAACATCTCTTGGGAAAGCAAGGGTATGCGAAATTGAATGAAAACGTCAGCTCAACTCATATCATTGTAGAAAAATTCTACTACAAGTCCTTCATTACCTTCGACGAAACAGGGTGAATAGACCTAATATTACTGATTTACTGATAGTCTCAAAACTCTACTCTAATACGAAAATAAGGATTGGCATATCACGAGGTGACAAGGGTTGCAACAGGCCAACATTTCTTTTTGTTCCGTATACATTTAGAGCGATTTCGTAAATTAGGCTGCCTCGCTTCGACAATGTCAGCCACATCGAGACCAACAGAAGCTTGGTACAGGTTCATCAAAGTAGCAGAACTGCGAACCAAGAACTTCTTTGAACAATCCGTCAGTCTTCGCTCCACTTTGCCGCAATCCTCCTTCAGTTTTAGGTGAATCCAAGCCATATCATATGCTGCAGATTGTTGCAGCAAATAGAACTTTGCTTCGTTAACAATCCCACCACATAAATGTGATATGGGAGAGGCCCAGAATTCCATAAAATACACGACTACTCGTAGCAGTTTGGCGTTGTAGTTGCCATGTCGAGACTATACGCTGCGCAACGTCAACTCGGGTTCGAGTCCCGCTGAGGAGGTTGTTGTGGCGGTGGGATGAGGTAGAATCTGCAGCTCAGTTCAGTTGGCAGGTGAATATCGTTGGGAAGAAGAGGCTATGCGAAAAAGAATGTGTTGTATCATAAAACTGCTCATACTTCATCACCTTTAACGAAATAGAATGTATCCCTCTTGAAAAAGCGAAAACTTTACTTAAATTCAAGCTTAGTGCCCTTTTGAACGGATTTCCTGAGGCCTATTTATACTCGTCGCATGCTCACCCGCATTTTGGGCCGCAAATGTAGATCCAATTTGCCACTTTCTGTCGGCAATCTATTCCATCCAGACTCTATCGAAGTCTCTCTCTTGTTCATCTCGTGTCTTCCCCGCTCCTGTCTGGCTGTACCGAAGTGGTTTACTCTCGTTCTCCCAACTTGGTCGTGTAGTCAAGGCGTCTTCATGATCATAATCCATCAGAAGGCCTCTGCCCTCGAGTTGTCTTGACAACAAATGGCGTCATACCGTCGACTTGGTACATTTGCAGAAGTCAGTAAATCTTGCCATTATTGGCACTCAATGGCGATGCCGACTAAACTTGTGCAAATGTACCAATTCAGCTGACTGACACTGACTACTGTCATGACAAATCGACGGCAGATGATGTCGTTGAAGGTGCATTCATCTGGACGGCCCTGATTTCATGGCCAATTTGGGAAAACAAATTTAAGCCAATTCTGTAGAACAGAAGAAGCCTGCCAACAAAATGGATGCTATACAATCTTGTTTTTTGATTTTACCACTCAATTTGAGTATTTATCGAATAAAATCGTGTAAAAACAATGCTTTTCACGACCACCTGGTTTGGAATCCCGTTGAAGGTGCTATTGAAAGTGGTGAAATGTTGTTTTATCCGCAGTCGAGTCCATTCCAGTCGGGATGAGAATACCTTTTGAAGGCGGAGCAAATAGACCTAACTAGCATTCTGAGGTCTACTCATCTGATTGTGTGGAAGGCTCCACCAACAGTCATTATATCAGCTCAAGCGAACAAGTATTTGTGATAAATGATTGCTCAGCTTTTCGAGATCTACTCAGATTGCAAAGTCAACCAACTCGTCACGGTTGGTGAACAGCTGAAATCCGAGTCCGAATCTGGCCAGTCGGACTCGGTCTCTCGGCGTCCAGGCCACCTGATCCGCCGGAATACGTGAATCAGTGCAGTTTGATCCAATTGCAAAAGACGGTGCCATTCGAGAGATTGCTGCGTTTACTAAAATAAGGCCGCCGTCCCGCAGATCATGGCAGACAGCCAAGCAATAACGATACAAGAGGACAGACGCACACCGACAAGGCCGTTTTCATCAAGAGCCTCGGGCCGAGAAAAAGGTAGACAGGATTGGCCTCGAACTCCGACGGAAGGCACCACGACAGACTCAGACAGACAAAGAGACGGGCGCTG